CTGCTGTATTGCTGACGGTTCACTGATAGCATACTTTAAAATCCCAACTGTGCGATTTGTTTATTCAATGCTATGGTATTACTCCCAGTGGGGCTTCGCTAGAGCATTGGCTGTACTAAAGCGTTGCCCCTTTTGTTCTGGGCTCGACTGCCATCGAGGTTGCGCAGCTTTTCACGAAATAAATCTTCCGATTGTGTCACTTAATAATGCACAGACAAATTAGCAGGCTAGGTTCGACGTCACTAGGTGTCCATACCCTTCACTTTCGTGCTTTCTCCGCGACACGTTACTGAATTAACGTCAGTAAGTTTAGGCCTGACTTAACGCACATCGTTACCGACTACTCTGTCTTATTCATGTGATCAGCAACATCTTTTGACAGTCTATTGGTTCACTGGTGCAACTAGTCAGTTGGGCAGGCAGAAGCCTACATATTTTCTTAACAATTTTGTTATGTAAGGGGTTCTTTCGAGACACGAATTTACTGGAGGAAAAGTGACTGATATTGCCGTATTTTCTCATGAAAAAACTCAATAATAAATGCAATCCATTAAGATTCCTTTTGGTTGAAGTTTTCCCAAAACATAATTAATGGCATTTGTAGTGAAAGTGCGAATTTTTCTAAACAAGGATATTTTCGTTGACTCGAGTTTAAATTACCTTTAACTCTCATCTTTAACTTTCGCTCAACTACATTGATTTCGTTAATTCGTCGACAGAGCAATTCAGCATGACATGCAAAACTCCTTTCTCAATAACCAGGAAGAAGTCCGTTTGTCCTTGACATTTGACTAAAATTCTACACACTTTCACTTGTATAAGTGAAGAAGAAGAGTCAAGCACCGGAACACTGTGTTTATTGTCCTTAGCTTTCAAACTCGTACAGCCTTCCTAGAGCACTTTACTAATTATAATGATATGAAATACTAAAAAGATGTAATTTCTTTAACTAACAACTTCAATGTACGGACTGTCTGTACTCATTCTAATCCCGGCTCGGAGTTATCATCTCTTCAATGCGCAGGGCTGTTTGGAGAATCATTTTTAGCACATTTTTATAGTTTCAAGGACAGTGTATTCGAAAGCGGTGCGAATTCGACTTGTTTATTTACAAGAAGTAAAAAATACACTTTTCCGCCGAAAGTGCTGTTAGTGGATTCATACAAACAGACTGATTTTGGGAGAAAGTAGCAAATTAGAAATGTGCAAAGTAAACTACAGCAGAATGCTTGCTCAAAGATCCAGGCCGATTCTCCCTAGGATTTTTAAAATAACTTACTGCTCTCTTTTGTTTAGTCTTACCTGGGTGCTTGATAAAGGTGTTTGGACATAGGACTCAGATTAAATTTAGCTTAATAAGATCACATCTTTTTCTATATGTTGGAGTTCAAAAATATCGTTGTTTCGACATATAGCTTGCTTAACCCTTACATGATCTCCGAAAAAATGCAAAGTTCTTTCCCCAGAGGTTTTTGGGTCAATTGATCATTTTCAGCGCTTACCAGTCCTTAAATATTTCATTAGTAACGTACTTATAGTATTAGATAAGCATTTCCATGTATGGAAAACAGGATGGTCATCTAAATGCATTTTGGGCATTTTCTGATAATTGGAAACGGTTGCACGGTGATTTTTCCACTACCAAAGTACTGGTACCAGTCAATATCTTTATTTATCGCAATGTTCCGGCTTGAAGGCCTTGGAATTTCTCCTTGTTGCTTTGTGCTGATCTACCCTCTTTTTTGCCTAAATCTTGTGTCAAATTTAGGCTGAACATATTTTAAAGTCTTTGAATGCAGGCATAAATGCATTTCAGTGGAAAGTCAAAACTTAATAATTGCGACCAATTACAAGATAAATAGGTACGACTGTCAAATAACAAATTAAAGTTGGCCAAAAGATTCAATGCGCCAAACGGATATATCTTACGGGAGATGTGCTTTCGGCATCTGCAAGTAGGAGAGAAACAGAAGAAGTAGGAGCATTTTTGACCGCATAATGTGGAGTGCGGAAAGCAGTGTCTGCCAGTGTCCAAAAAGCGTCAATAACGAAATATTGATCTGAATTCAAATTTTTGCTAAAACTGTAACTCTGTGTGGTGCTTTCAGAAGAGGAATCAATGAAAAACTGGGTCGTGCTCTTACTTTCCTTTAGCTAAACAATCACATATCTCAAAAGTATCTCAAACTACAAACTTGTATAAAGATGAGCGATTGGGATTGCTTAAGCGTCCTGTGATGAGACACTTTTTAAAACTCAACTAATGCAAAAAATTTGATGGGATTGGTGTATGCGACCTCCCTTAACGGGCCATGGGATTAGAAACGGCTCGCCAAAGTGATAACGGTGGACCTGCGCAGAAATCCAGAAAAAACAAACTTTTCCCGGGTCTTAGCCTCAACAATAACCCTAGTATAAAACTAAACCGTTACCCTAATCCTGACACTAACCTTGATCTAAACCTTAACTCTGCAGTTAACGTTAGTCCCTATCTTAACCCTTGACTTTATCCTGACTTACCTTATCGTCAACTTTAGATCTGGTCTCAAACCTAATACTTAACCTAAGCCTAAGCCTAACCTTAAACATAACTGTAATTTTACTGGAAATTGGCTCAAAGCCGCCTGCAGAGCAGGCGGTTCCTGTTCTCATGTTCTCGTGGACATATATGTCGGTTCTACCTAAAATTCTTTTTACCTTTACCAACTGAAATTATGAGTTGGTCTTCTCTACGGTAAAGACTAATAAGTAATAATAATAACTCGTCTAAAATTCGTATGTAACTTTATTTTTACTTGCTTTGATGGGACCCCGACGGCTCTTTAAGAAGAAATTATTTATTCATTTATATGAAACGCGTTTTTTTTAAAAATAAAAAATCGATATTTTAACTGACAGAAGAGTAGTAGTTCGTGCTGCACTGTTCAGAGCACAGGTGGTTCTTTTTGGACACTTTAGAGTGCGTCGCAGTGTTCGTACGGCCAACACACCTTTCACAACACTGGCAGCGCCGATGAACACATGTGTCTGAACCCTCGTATCTCTGCTACCGTACGCCTGAAAGGGTCCACGGGGGAGATGCACTGGACCAGCACAGGTGCTAGACGGGGTCCGGCAACTGTCTTCGGGAATGCGCACACGTAACAAACGTCAACATTGGGGTGTGTTGACAGGTCCGGTTGACAGCTCATGTCGCGCCGATGAAGATCTTTACCCATTCCCATTGCGATTGTTAATAAAAATTTAGGTCAAGTGTTTGTTGTGGAGCAGAGTATGTAGTGGCACGCCTAGGTGCGGGTTTCTGCCGTGCCAGTCATCTGCGCCCTCTCCCGCCTCCGGTCTTCTTGACCCCGCCTCGGCAGCGGGTTCAGGTGGAGGAGGCGACACTGCGGTAGGTGCGACGTAAGTCTACTATTACTACAAACAAGTCACCGTTTCTGCTCTCACCCTGTTGTGCACAGCACACAGCGGGACGTCGACAGGGACAGTAGAACTGTCGGCGGACGAAGCCACAATAAAAAACCCCAACTCCCTATAAACGGTCATGTAGGTAGTGTGTTCTCTACAATTGAATAGGACCTCTGAGAAAGGGTCGTACGGACGTCTAAACCGGTGATCGGCAGCTTGGTAGGCATCCTCAAAGCACGGAAGGATCTGAGGATGTCAAAAGTTGGGTCGTCAAGTCGCTTGCTTAGTTCGCTGGAAGGTTTTGGGAGACAGGCCCCGTTAATCCAACCGACCGCTTCCGTCGCATAATTTTCCGGATATATTAAAATCTACTTGACACGCAAGGTCGCTGATCAGGATCGAGAACAACTACCAATGTCGCCGCTATCATTAATTCTGTAGCAGTAAGCACTAATCTCTAAAAGCACAGGCCATTATCAGGCCAGCTTATCTGTGGGTTTTAGCCCGTTCAGCTATATATTCGTTGTAACTACGGCCCATTGCTAGTGGTCGGCATTGTTCACGATTACGTTCGGTCATTCGACCACGAGTAACGTAGTCAAAAAGGCTGGTTCAAGGTTACGAGAGGTTCTTCGGACTAACTGCAGTTTGGCTTTTGTCAGAAGGGCGTCCTTAAGTAACATAGAATGCGACTGGCTGACCTCCCAGTTGAGTGATTTAGTCCCGCATATCAAAAGGTAACACATAAAGGGACTTATTGTCCTGCCTTCGTCATTCGAAGTCGTACGGCTGACCAAGGTGAAGCGAAGCGCATTGACTGAAGGAGGATTAAGACAGTTGCTATGTGGCTACGTAGGCCAGCCCGAAAATTAAAATTTATGTTAAAAGGTAAGTATAGTCGCATAGTATGGGCATTTAACCGAAACAGTTGCTACCATTCCGATAGCTTAAACACCTTGACTGGGAGCCCTAAACATAGGGCTGTTGTATAGGCAGAATGACACTACTGACAAAGACAAGGGAGACTAGAATGGTCACTTTTGGGTTATAGTCGTCGTCAGCCAAACATACCCAACCCTGAGGTGTGCGGCACCTGGGGTTCGATCCCGCGATCTGTTACTTAGAAGTCTACCGCCCTAACTACTTAGCCACGGACTCTTCCCTTCACCATTGTATATAGCTGATCCTAACTGACAGGATAACGAACCTGTGGCTCAGGGGTTAGATGCGTTGGACTTCTAACAGGTCGCGGGGTCGAGATCCAGGTGTTTCCCACTTCGGGGTTGGATATGACTAGCTGAAGACAGCTCAGAAACCAGAAACGGCCACTCCAGTCTTCGTCGTCCTTGTCGGTAATGTCATTCTTTCTATATTACGGGCCGCTATGCGGCTGCTGGAGGCGACCCAGAGTGAGCGCCCCAAGGCACAATGGGACAAATTCCGTAAGAACGATCGGTGAGCGTCCCTCTACCATCAGCCGTCATTTTCCCCACCGGTTTCGAAAAATTAACAGCCCTCCTAAACCTTAGGGGGGTCCATGCATTTGTAACCGGAAAACCGGGGTGTAGGGGTGTCAGCGGTGGGTTCACGTAATGGTCGTGGTGGTCGCTCACTTGCTTGCAGGTGAGACTGCGCCTAGCGTCCACTTGCTGGCACCCAACTCTCACCTGTGGCTCCACGTAGCTGGGCTCTGCTCAGCGGCCACACCCCGGGCAACCGTCTCGACCGGCGGGCTAAACCAGGTGAGGGGGCCCTGTGCGCTGTGCCGTGTGCACAGGGTTTGCGGATTCCGCTGGATGGAAGGTCGGATGGAACCTTGCGTCGGCACCGTCGTGACGTGGTTCGTCTCTGCACGTCGCTCGACAGCCGGTGACGGGATGGATCTCCACATCGACATCGCCTTGACGCGCCCACCTTCGCCGACGGAGACCGCGGCTTACGGCGAATTCGAGTCGCTCTCCACTACAACCCGAAGTCGTGGTCCCATAGTGGAGTTCGGCCGTGCCACAACGGCACATGGCAGCCCTATTCAGGGATGGCACTGCCAGCCCCCACGAGGGGAAGCGCCTAGAAAAGGTGGCCTCAACATTGCTGGGTACCACGCCGTCTCCAGGCTAGCCAGGGCCGCAGACGTCTAAACATGGTCGAAACAATCAAAATCGAAACAACAACAATACCAATAACAACAACAACAACCATACTCATTCTCCTCATCCTACCTCTTCTTCCTCTACCTCCGTCTATTCTTCTGCCTATACTTCTCCTTCGTCATCTTCTTCTCCATCTCCTTCCCGTCGCCCCACTCGTTGTCACCAGACTGGCAGGGTGAGCGCGCTCACTCTGGCAGCCTGGAATGTTCGTTCCCTTTTAGACAATCCGAGGAGCAACCGACCGGAGCTGAGGACGGCGCTAGTGGCACGAGAACTGGCGCGCTACAAGGTGGACATCGCCGCACTCAGCGAGACCCGTTTCTCCGAACAAGGCCAACTGGAGGAGGTAGGTGCCGGCTACACCTTCTTCTGGAGCGGTCGACCCAGGGC